AAATCATTAAATTTACCACTACATTTTTTTTATTCTTCATGAAAAAAAGATTTCGCTTTTTGAACCTATTTAAAAAGAAATTAATAAATAAAATTAGAAAAGTTTTTAAAAAATGGTTTTCTAGCTCTAATAATTTTAAATGCATATGATATATTTGAATCAATAGTGAGTAAAAAATCATATAAAACATGTGAAGATAAATAAATATATATATTTAAAATTTAATGATTAACAATCACGAGAATAAATTTATTAACATGAAAAAAATTATTTAAAATTAATTATTTGATGATTTCAATTGATTAAATTCAACTAATAGATATTTGAGTTTTATCTATTATAAAAGTTGATTGTTTTAATAGACAATGATACTGCATAAAAATTATTTTTTAAAATAAAAAAATGTATACAAATAACAATTTCATTGATTGTAAAAAATAAAAAAAGGATTAATATGTGAAAATTTTAAATAGAAAGAATCTCTTTTACAAAATGAAAAAAATAACATTTTTAATACCTTTTCTTTAAAAAAAAACTGCCAACTAGGTTAATCATTATAATTAAATAATTTGGATAAAATTTATTCTAAAACTAATTTTTTTGGATTCAAATTATATGAATTAATAATAAAAATTTAAAATTACTATATTATAATAGAACAGAGACAATTTTGATCATTAAACTAATAAAAAAAAGTGCTCAAATCACCCCTTGGTTAATGAATAAATAACATGCATGCTAAAATTAGCAAAAAGTCAAGCTTGACGGCAAATTCAAAATGATGGTGGAAGACGGTATGAATAGTGTCACCAATTCAGACACAGAGAATTCGATCGACCCTTTTCAAATAACAATCCTGTTTGAAATTCGATCAAAGGTTTAGATCCGGTCAGCTGTGATGTAAGAGAAAGTCAAGTAATATAACAAAAGAGAATAAAAGGGTTAACGAAAAGATAAAAATGCAAAGGAAAAAATACGTGCCATGTGTTTAGGTCGTAGAAAAAGAAGGTGTAGAAAAATCGGAAGCACGAGGATTCTGGAGGAAATTTGTGTTTTAATTTCCTTACCGGTCACAATCAAGACATTATGTTCTACTTCAAGTATTTTAAAAATAATTTTTAAAAAATATTGATCATAAGGATCAAATTCTAAACTTAATTTATAAATAAACACTTACTTATTTGTAGATTATTATCTTATGATTCAACGTATTTTTATTTTTTTCGTAATAATTAGAAGGATTTTTATATCAATTACATATCAATTGATGCTGAATTTTTATTTTGTATGATTTTAATAATGTGTCTCTATGTTGATTTAGTATATTTAATGAAATAAATTATACTACAACTATATACGTGATCGGTGATTATGTTAAGAGATGCATTGTATTTATGTTAATTTTTTTTCTTTTTTCTTTAAAGTTAGAAGTATTTTTGGATCAATCGCATATTCATTGATGGTAAATTTTTATTTTGAATTGACTCTAATAATATATTTTCTATACTGATTTATTGTATTTTATGAAATAAATTCTACATTGAATACATGTGTCAGCATGTTTTGATTAAATCACTAAGGTCTTGTTAAAAACAATATCATACCGATGTTAAAAAAAAAAAAAAAAGAATGCAACTTCTTGTGCTTTATAAACTTTTTCTCAGAAACCAGGTTCCCTGAAAAGAGTAATGCTATAACTTAGAACAAAGATATTTTTATAGGTAATTTTGTTTGTATACACAAGGAACACACTAAACACTAGCACCTGGTTCCCTAGAGAAAACAGCACCAGTAGCGTCTCAAAACAAAGTTGAGACTATACTCATTCACGCACCCAGTTTCCCAAGCACAGCTATTGATTTTGTTAAACAGCATTTAATAACGATCGAATTATTGATTCATCGTTTTCTATGTGATATATTAATATGTAAGGCGCTTCCGATCCACCACAACAATTCCTCTAGTACATTTGGCACAGGGGTCATGAAACCGTTGGACCAAGTCACATGAGCCAGGATGGATGAGATTGCTCAAGCTTTTTGAAGGATAAGACTTTAAGGGTACATGGGCTTATTTAATCATTTAAATAAACAAATTTGATACATTACTCAAAACACAAATTAACATATTTGTGACTTAAAAAAAATATATAAAAAAATAATTTTATTATGAAATAAAAAAATTATAAGAGATAATAATTCCAAACAATTATCTTAATTTTTATAAAATATTTATACATAAATTAATGAACAATCAAGGTTATTTATAGATTTTAAGATTAAAAAGAAAATTAAAAAGGACAACGAACTATTAAAATTACATAATTTTTTTAATTTCTCACATTGATGGTGAATTGAATTACATTAAAAATTACGAATAATAAAGATGTGAAAAATATATAAATATTTATTATTTCATAATAGATCAGACTTAATTTAATGATCGGATATTTAGTTAATCGAATAGTAAGGATTTCAAGTTTTTTTTATGTATAATTATATAATATTACAAAAATTCATGGACCTGTTACGAATAAAAAAAATTACAATACAAAAAAAAATAAAAATTGATACTATAAAAAGAAAAAGGTAATTACCTTGATTATGAAGTTGAAAGAAGAAAATCAAACTTCAACTAAATTATATTTTCACTCTGCAAGAAATTGAGAAATTCGTAGCAACTTCTACTCTATAACGAGTTAAAACTGGCAATCTAAAATGAAAAAACAAAACCCTTAAAACTGAAGCAATAATAGATTTATGGAGAGGCGATGAAGCTGCAACAGCCTAACACCAGAAAAAGACAAACAGAAAAAAATGAAAAATGAATGGACAAGTCTCCATGCTTTTTACAGAAATGCAGAAACTATCATCCATTTGCTCTTCTGACTCTGCTCAGGACTACTGTATTTGATCCATAATTTGGCCCACTAGATTCCAACTTTAATCATCCCTAATTTTGAACAACCGAATTGTGCACATAGTCATGCAGCTGTAGCTTTTTCTCACTCGGGGAATTTGCTTCATCTATTTTTAGCATTCACAATTCATCACCGATGACATAAGTATGACATGATAAGGTTCGTCAGATAATTAAACAACTGTCATGGCCCGATCATCTCACACCCACAGATGGTAAATCCATCCCACTTTGCCAAGTGTCCTCCTCTCCTTGTCTCCCCATCACCGCCATTCTGTTCGCCAAACGAGACACATCCAACGGTCATTTTTTAATCGATCACCTATATTACCAGGTATCATTAAAACAACGTGGGACCCTTCAAATTTTTCTTCTGGTTAGTATATTACTTCGCCCCTCGCTGTACAGACCCATCGTGTGGAAGCAAGATACGCATCGTATTCTGTTGTAGCAATTAGCAAAGTATCAGGCTTTTAAACACCTCTCGTGGAAAGAGTTTTAATTAATAGCATTTGGTTCCTAAGTCTTGATTTTATCCCACCTCAGTCCGTTTACTATTTTTTATTCCAATACCATCCAAACGATGGTTCGATGATTGCTCATTTCTACCCTTAATAATTGAAAAAAATAAAAAAGGGTCGAGTAATATTGATATACTTGGATAGTAAATTTTGTGTTCATATGTTATGGAAAAAGCAATTCAATTTATAACATCTGTGTACACTAGACTACTCGATCCATTATCAAAAACTTTATGACTGAAAGAAACCAAAACCACTAGTATTAAGAAAAATAGTATGTATAAAACACTTGACTAAAGAAATCATAAGATGCCAAGTAGATATTAGAAAAATCATTATACACAAAAGAAATGATTAATCTATTATTAATTCAATACAAGTTGATCATCTTCTATTAATAAAAAAATAATTAATACCTTAAGTGTTATATGTTTTGTCTCATAAATTTTAAAACTGATATAGTATCATGTATTTCTTTTTTTAAATAAAATATTATCAAATTTGATTAAGTCAAATATCTCCATTTTCTATGCTAGTTCAATTGTTAAAAAATTCTTTAAACACATGCTAGTGTAGAACTTGTTTGTAAATACACACTAACAACCTAATAATTTACAAGTTATATCATCAATACAATTAATCTAGATTAAAAATCATTTGATCGTTAATAATTAAGTATCAAGTTGATCAAATATCATTTTAGTATTTTGCCCTTTGTATTATTATTGCTTCTTGTTGACCATCATAAATTTTTTTTATATAGTAAAAATGCATGATCATTATGATATTTTCTCTGATTTGAAAAAAAAGTAATATGTTTTGAGTTTTGACTTAATGTGATGCCTTACTTTTTATTAAATAAAAGTTTTTCATCAAGTAGCATTAAGAATGATTTTTAAAAGCAACTGATGAGAGGACTGAGTGATTGCAATGATATAGCGTCGAGGGATGTTGTTAAAATAAAAAGAGGCAGTTTGATGACCAAATTTAAAAGAAATCGAGTGCAGGGACCGAATCCACCATTAACTGTAAAAACCCCCCACGTTCCTTATGAGGCGTTAATACCCTACAGGGGCATTTCCGTCATCAAAACAAACTCTTGAAATTAAAAATGAATGGAGCCTACAATCGTAGTTGGTCATGTCAGGTTGGAGAGAGAGAAAACTCAGATGGATAGATGCATAGCGTCAACTTCGGTCCGTCTGGCAATAATCGCCAGGCTGTACACAGCTGTCTTCCATATCCTCTTTTCAACCAATATGCCCCTCCTGTGCTCCTAATCTGTCCCAATATTTTCAGGGAGCTCAATAGAAATCCCGGCTGCCTCTAGTAATTAACCGAAGCAAACGATAATGCGTGTGAGTATTGCGCATCTTCGCTTCACTCTACACACATCCCCATGTACTCCAGCCTGTTTCTGCTAACACCTAAGCTTCTCCTTCTCCTCTTCTTCATTATTTTCTCAACTTCAAAAGCCTAAAACTCCACTCCCTCGCTAAACGCACACAAAAGTTTATACTTTTTTTGTAGCACTGAAAGGGCGGAAGAACCAGAAAAATAATGGATCCCTGCCCTTTCGTGCGCATAACTGTGGGAAATCTCGCTCTTAAAATCCCTGTCGCTTCTAAACCTGCTCGCTCTGTCGTTCACCCATCATCTTCTCCCTGTTTTTGCAAAATCAAACTAAAGAACTTCCCTCTTCAAATGTCTGTCATTCCCTACATTCTATCGGACAACACGCAACTTCCTGAAGGCCAAATCCAAACTCTAGCTGCCACTTTCCACCTAAGCAAGTCCGATCTCGACCGTCTCGTTGCTAAATCTATTTTCACTAACAAGCTCCACCTCAAAATCTCAATCTATACTGGCCGTCGCGGTACTACTTGTGGAGTGAACTCAGGGAGGTTGTTAGGGAAAGTGTCCGTACCTTTGGATCTGGCCGGAACGGAATCTAAAGGTGTTGTGTTTCATAATGGATGGATTTCTATTGGAAAAGAGAGTGTTAAAAGTTCCTCTGCTCAATTTCATTTGAATGTTAAAGCTGAGCCTGATCCAAGGTTTGTGTTTCAATTCGACGGAGAACCTGAGTGCAGTCCTCAAGTGTTTCAGATCCAAGGCAATATTAGGCAGCCTGTTTTTACTTGCAAATTCAGCTTCAGAACCACCGGTGACCGCAATCGGAGATCCAGGTTAGTTCATTTCAAAAGCTTTTTTTTTATGTATTTTTTAAGGTTTTTAAGTATTCTTCATGTTTTATGCTTGCTTATTAATTTTAGTTGGTAAAATGAATCAATGCAATGCAATAATTTTTTAAAGATGGTAAAGTGCTGCATTTGTTAATCTTTTGATCCAAGTTGTTGAACTTTATGAAAAAGAGACTGCTCCTAGTTAAAGCGCGCGAGATCGTGTTTTTTTATTTATTAAACGTAATTATCATATTTGAGGAGATTGTCTTTTATTTGGTGCTCTGCTTCTTAATTTAATTAATCTGTTTATTTCAATTTTGCCAGATCAGTACAAGGGGAGCCCAACGGCTCAAGGAACTGGCTAAGTTCATTTGGTAGCGAAAGAGAGAGGCCGCTAAAAGAACGAAAAGGCTGGACGATAACAGTCCACGACTTATCCGGCTCCCCAGTAGCCGCAGCTTCAATGGTAACTCCATTCGTACCTTCGCCTGGTTCGGACAGAGTAAGCCGTTCAAACCCCGGTTCATGGCTCATCCTCCGCCCTGAAGCCGGTACCTGGAAACCCTGGGGCCGACTCGAGGCTTGGCGCGAGCGTGGCTCATCTGATGGACTTGGCTACCGTTTTGAACTAGTCCCTGACACAAACGACGGCAGTATGAACGCAGCCAGTATTATATTAGCCGAAAGCACTCTAAGTTCGCACAAAGGAGGCAAGTTTGTAATTGATATAGGAGCCGGCTCAAACGGGCGAGCCACGCAGGCAAATTCGGCTTCTCCTGTGTGTAGCCCAAGGGGTAGTGGCGATCACGGTTATGGATTGTGGCCTTATTGTGCGTACAGAGGGTTTATTATGTCGGCTAGCGTGGAAGGAGAAGGAAAGTGCAGTAAACCTGGCGTCGAAGTTAGTGTGCAGCACGTGAATTGTACTGAAGATGCAGCTGCTTTCGTGGCATTAGCTGCAGCCGTTGATCTGAGTATGGATGCGTGTAAGCTTTTCTCGCAACGGTTAAGAAAAGAGCTCTGTCAAGATCAGGACTTGCTCGGTTGACAGTGATGATGATTCTAGCTAGGTCTTTTTTGGGCCCCTTACACGTTGTCGTTTTGTGAATTTTTTTCTCTGGGTATAGATTTTAATATTTTCCATCTCGGTGAGGGGAGGGTTTCTACTTCTACTAACACACAATGAACAGACTGTGTACAGAGAGGTAGGTTAGACAGGCACGCTTTATTTTTGCATGTGTGGCTTGTTTCTATTGTCATTTTTCTTTTTGTTTTTGAAGAAAGGATGTTCTTAAGACGTTGTAGTAGCTGACTCTATTTCTTATTTCAGTTTTTAAAATTAGATGTAATGATTTATGAGATGGTGGGATATCATGGGAATGTCAATTGTTTGTTGGCAACCAACCTGAGTGTTGTGTGTCCTATTGATTATTTTAGGTTTCCTATTGGTTTATCTCTCGAGTCTTTTATTGCCAAATTAGTTAAATTTTGTTGAAGATTGGAATTTTTCTTATTTAAAAAATAACTTGAAACTGAAGAGTGGGAGCTTGTTGGGGATTGGGCAAGGGAAGCGCTATGCGTGCACGTAAAGACCGATTTCTGTTGTTTAATTGACATATTTTATTAAGAGAAAAAATTGTGGATGATAGCTGTAATGCGCTTTTGAATTAAAATATTTGGCTTGGGCATTGAATCATGTTCGGTATGACTTATGACTTATGGAGCTAGTTATTATTAGGGAAGACTATCTGACATTTGCAGCAAAGAGCATATTTATAATCTCGAGTTTTCCTATGTAGAAAATTCGGATCCACAAGCTGGCTCAATAATTATCCAATACATTATAATAAATAAACGTTTCTGAAAGCATGTTTGGTAGGGGTAGGACAAGGGTTGGTGAGTGCTGATACATTGTCCCAGTTGAATTTCTGTTGTGGCGAAAATTGTTTCCGTGGAACCATTCATGGCTTTTCCGACTCGATCAGAGAGAGGTTTGTTTACTAAAAACCCTAAAAAAACTCTTGAAGGAGGGGTAAATCTATGTTTCAGAATTAAGCAAGTGTGCATGTAGCAATAGTGGCCAACAGCTAAGATTATTCTGAAATGAGCAAATTGCTAAAATTTCAGTTCGGAAACGATTTCATATTTTTGGACTAGCCAATATTAGGACTACTCTTTTTGGGGGTGGGACTCGAAAATTAGGAGTCACGTTCACGTCTATGGGGTTGAGCAGAAACTGTCAGAGCTTTTGTTTGAAAATCAGGTGTGACAATGTGGAGGGGAAACATTGTTGGGTTGGCTTGAGGCGTTTCGCTGTCGCACATGACATGCTAAGAAGATGTGGGTGCAACAAGGAGGGGACCAAAAATAGCTACTTCTAGGGTAAGAATCAAAGAGTTGGAGCTTGTGCCTATCAGTATCTTGGCAACTGATTCCAGTAAAAAGTAGACGGAATGGGCTTTATTTATCTCACAAATTTGCTACTTGCTAGCCATGAACAAATAATTTGACCAGCGTAAAGATGGTTAAAAGGTACTGAATCACGGGCATGGCTTGTGAAAAAATGTTTTGCGTATGGCTTTTAGTGCTTGTGGGGAATCTAGGCTTTTGACCTGTGAACCTTTTACTGGCCAGTAGAAGGAACAGGGTGTAATTTTTGTAGATGGGATGTCTAAAGATGGCAATATACGGATACTCAGTCAATTAATTTAATTTTTTTATTTTATTCATTAAAAAATATATTCTATATATTAAAACATTATTATATAAATTTTTATTTAATTCATAACGGACCATATTAGTTTGTTCATTCTTTCAATATTTATTTAATATTCATTAAATATAATTTATCAAAAATATTTATTTTAGTTCTTATAATTTTAAAAAAAAGTTTTTTCGATCCTTAAAATTTAATTTTTTTTTCATTTTAATCATTTATTTATATGATTTTTTGGTCTTTAAAGTTTTTTTTTTAAATCGATCCTTAATTTTTAAATTTTATGTAATTAGATCCATGCATATTAATAAAAAAAATCTAAATAAATCAATGCATATTAATAAGATAAAAAAATCATATTAATGGGTTTTACCTATATTCATTTCAAAACTCATTAAACATTTTTAATGAATATTTATTAAACAGAATAAAGTAAATATTTATTTTATATTTAATCCATTTTCATCCCTTGTTATATCACTTGACTCTTGTTACAATTTAGTTTAAAAAATGGATGTAAATAATTCCTATTTAGAATCTATTGTAAATAATTTCTATTTCCAACGCAACTGCTACTTTTAAATTTTTGTCTGTAACAATGGAATTCCAGCCAATCAAACCTGTCAAGTGAGGTCCGATGGGTCCTAAAAACTCAAATAATGATTAAAAGTTAGATGACTCTTGACAGTGATAATGAATGATGGAGATTGATCTTTTTTAATAATTCTTTTTGTGTAAATCACCTGAAAAATAAGTATCTCTATCTCTCATAGATTGAACTTCTTTTTTAACACAATCAAACGATAAATATACTATAACAAATAATATATAACGGTTACCGGTTGCTTTAAAGGTATTTATTAGCTCTTGTCTTTTAAGTTTTAGTTTTTTTTTTTTTTTTTTAATACTTAAAAAGAGAGACTGGATGCACTAGATCTTTTGTTTCCATTCAAACGCCAATTGCTAATTTAAAGAGTAAATAGTTTAACTTATTTTCATATAAGAAGTTGACTTTTTAATTTTATTTTTAAGTTTCTACTCACATCTATTATATTCTTAAATAATATTTAAATTTTCAATGTGTTATTTCGATCAAAATATCCCTTATTAAAATGTAAATAATAATAATAATAATAACAATAATAATTTAAAGACTTTAAAAATAAAACATGAAAGTCATGTAATTTTAATTATATATATATATATTTTTGAGTTAGGGGTGTTTCATTCAAAAAATTTATCAATGGTTGAGAAAAATAATAAAAAAACATATTAAAACTTAAATATTATTTAATTACATAATAAATATAGTTAAAAATATAAAGATAGATTCAAGATTCAAATTATTATATAAAAACAGATTAATTTATTTATCATAATTTAAATTCTAAAACTAAAATTTAATAGACATCATACTAAAAAATCATACTCCGAGAGGATGTCAATCCAACAATATTTTGATTACAAGAAGTATGAATTTAAATTTGAAAAGATTTCACGTCGTCAAGGCGCCTGCTGCCCCAATACAAGAATTTGACAAATGTTTGTCGCAAGCTGACCAGGTGCTGGGATCTCACTTTTTTTAAGTAATTATAAATTGGGTTTCTTGAATAATAAATAAATAGATTTTTTTTATTTTAAAAACTAATTATTTAATTTATTGATTAATATTGATTATGTTTAATTTAATATTATATTATTTTAAAAAATATAATTTTTTCATCAATTATTATTATAAAAAATAAATTTACAAAAGATTAAAAAATTAAGTTATAAAAAAAATTAAATAACTATACTTTTTTTTTAAAAAAAACTAATTAATTCGTTTTTCAAACCAGATGAGACTAATTTATAATTTACTCCTGAAAATAAGGACTCATTTTATGTAACTTATCATGATAAGGGAAAACGAGTAAGGTTTTTCATAAAAATCAATACTCTATTCAAATTCAGTAACAAAGTCACGGTAACTTCAGTAACAAAGCGGTCACTGTAGAAAAACCGGCTGGGCAATGCTAAAGATTAAAGAATGAAGGAAACGACAAAAGCAAATCACCATATGGTGCATGAAAGGGCCAGAAATTACTATTCGCTGAGGCTGAGCTGAGTGAATCGCTGGTGGCAAAGATGAAAGCATTAGGATGGTGGCTGATGTTAGTGGGCTTCCTTCGATTAGCATCGGTTTGGTTCGGTTTCTTCGACATTTGGGCTCTTAGGCTGGCTGTCTTCTCCGATACCGCCAGTAAGCTTCTTTCTTTTCTCTCACTCAATATCTCTGAAGTCAAATCCCCTTGTTTTCTGCTTAAGTTTGTCATCCAAAGGTGCTGCTAACGATTTGTGTGTTTTAAGCCGAGTGTTGAATTTTACCGATACATTGAATTAAACATAATGCTGAATTTGGATCTTCATTAATTTAAGTGGGTCAAAACGCAATTAAGATTTGGACCCATATTTTATTTTTTATAGAGCAGTAGCAAGTGGGGAGAATTTGAATGTGGTGTCCAAGAAAGTTTACTAGAATGATAGATTTTGAGTGTACTGGCAAAACATGGATTTTTTTTTACTTAGCTCAATGTGGATTTCTGTCAGATTCCAACAACATAGTTCTTTCAGGTTCATGTATGTGCAATTGCGTCAGGAGTAAAGGGAGCAACTATGGAAGTATTCAATGATTTAATGATATGAACTAGACACCTGCAATCGTGAGCAATGAAGGGTTCTGTTTTTTTTTTTTTTTTTGGTGTTAGATTGTCGGAAAAGATAGTTTCAATCCATCAGGCAGTTTATTGAATGTCAAAATGATTTTGATTGGTTCTATGGGGATTTGTCCCCAAGATTTTGGTTCTTTTGGTGCTTGTATGAGTACGGGCAAACGTATACCTGAAGTGGAGGATTATGTTAAGGGAGCAAGGCAAGGATGGTTCCTAGAGTTCGTAGTTTTATCATGCACTCAAATGGTTGCTTCCTGCATACTTTAACTTTCAGGGAATTTTAGAGTCCAATTGAAAATATGTTAGTAATACTTTCATTACCTGAAGCTACTACTGGTAATCAACTATTTGGTTAGAAGAAAAGAACCATATCACAGATTTCAACTATCTAGATCAGAGGAAACCCAAAGATTCTCATGCATTGTAGATCAAGTAAATTTTACCTGGCCTACTTGAACTGCCCCTTTTTCTATTCTCTCCTTTCCTATCATTGTTCTTCATTAAACTACAATAAGGACCTTTTTTATGTAGCTTCACATTGACCTTCTTTAAGTTCACAGTAGTTCTGGCCGGTTGGTTAGGAAGAGAGAGCATACCTTTTGTGCTGACATGACCATTAGGCCTGTGTTTTCTGATATTTCAATAATTGGTGACTAAAATCTCTGACACTAAAATGGTAGTTGCTCATAAAGTAGTAATTTGATACTAAATCGAATCCATTAGGCCTGTGTTTTCTGATACTTAAGTGATTGGTGATTAAACTCTGTTAATTACTACCCATTGACTTGAGTTAGTAATAGCAATTACAGAAACTTCTTCATTTTCTTAGGTTTGAATATCAAGATAAATGATATCTTCTCTGTAAGTGTATCTTTTTCCTTTGATTATGAATCCAGACTAATAATATCAGTCACAGACACAAAGCAGAACACGCTTATAAAAACAAAGGCTTGCAACAATTCCAAACCCAGCAGATGCATCTATTTCTTTATGGTTGAAGTTTTGTTTGTAACTCCTTTTTGATTGGTTTCAATGGTAGAGAGTTCCTTCTCCTTTGTTGTAATTGATCATGGTTCTGATTTTTTTCCCATCGTATTGTTGCAGTGACTGAAGTCCACGGTAGAACATTTGGAGTTTGGACACTTTTGACTTGCACTCTTTGCTTTCTTTGTGCATTCAACCTTGATAACAAGCCACTTTATTTGGCCACTTTTCTATCGTTCATCTATGCCTTAGGGCATTTCTTGACTGAATACCTCATATATCAGACGATGGCCGTTGCAAATTTGACTACTGTGGGCATCTTTGCAGGTATTTGTGTTTCTTAGTAATATGAAATGTTTTATTCTTATCTACTAATAATTCTAGTATCCAACCCAAGCATTCTATTTTTAGGTTTACCTTTGCATAGCTTGCTTTCAAGTTGCAACTCTGTTTTGTTGTGTGTACCATGGGAAACAAATTTTTTTTCCCCACTGAATCCTAAGGTAAAGGTAGATCAGCACGAGCTTACAGTTCTAGAGAGAGACATTTCTGGACTGGCAGCTCATACTTGTAGCCAAATTCTGCAATTTCACTTTTTTATTTGTTCACGTCTTGTTTCTCTTGGCAATAAATAATTGTGTATCTTCAGAAAAATCTATTTCTTGGTCTCCATTTAGTTCATCTGTTCGTTTTTAATCAGGTACATCAATAGTGTGGATGCTAATTCAGTGGAATGCACATCAAAAGAGCCATCCGAAGCATTCATGAAACTGGAATGTTATTTTTGCTTGCGATGCCCTGATCTTTATTGCCGGATCTCGTGGGAGCTTTTATTACTCTTTTCCAGCTTGTAATTGGATTTTCTGATGCTGCATGCTTTTCAGATGCTTATGGCTCGCTGTGATTCTTAAACGTACCGATGATTGGACTGCTGTTTTAATGATGATGTTCTTATTTTCAGCTCCTTTTGGAAGTTAACCTTTTTGCAGCAATGGCTTTCTAGAAATTACGGCGAAGAATTTCCGAGTAAAATTTTGGCTAATTCTACCATGCCGCACAATCTTCTTTAAATTCCGTTGCTTTTCAATAATGAGACACATGGCATCCTTTTATTAATAATATGCGACAAATTTGGTTAAACCAATAGTCAACATGAAGTGTTGGTTATGTGAATAAAAAGTTATGCAACAAAATAATCAGGCATTATTTATCTTAAATTCTGTAAGAATCTGGAACAAGTATGTGTCAGAATGCAGTCAACTACTTGTGTTAATTGTATTTTGAAAAATAAACGGACCATATGAATATTTATAATATAGTAAAATACAATACAATATAAATGAAAAGATTACATCACATATTAAAATATGTGTCTTTATAAAGTAACAAAACATGTTTAAAAAAAAACAAAAAGAAAGAAAGCAAATCATGTCATTAAAAGTAACCATTTGTATTTAGTGGAATACTAGATTTTTTACGTGCGCTATGATGTGGATTAGATAAAATATATAAAATCATATAAAAAAAATTATTTCAGTTTAATAATCTGTTTTATGATAAAAAAATAATTATAATTTTTAAATAAAAAAATATATTTAACTATTTCTTATTTGTGTTTTTAAATTTTAGAAATAAATAATAACGTAAATAAATTATTGATTTCTTTAAAATTTTAACACTCAATTAATTGTTGGTTCTTTTAAAATTTTAACACCTAATATTATTAAGAAATTAAAATAAAAAAAAATTCAATGTTTAGGGAAAAAAAAAAAAAGAGACCAGCTGTTTACTGTTCATGTGAATAGTAAATGGACGGAAATTAAAAAAAAATTAGTGTTTAGAGAAAAAAAAAAAAAGAGGGCAAGCCGTTTACCATTCAAATGAAAAATAAACAGCTAAAAAGAGGGGGGGGGGAGGCCAGCGAGTGCTGGCAAAAAAAAAAAATGAAAACTTAAAAAGCTAAAAAAAGCCAAAGTAATATAACAATGAACGGTGATTAACACTGTTCATTGCTACGATGAAAAATGGTTTTTCTTTAGTATATAGTATTAGATTTTTTACATGCGCTATGCTTGCGGGTTGGATAAAATATATAAAATCGTTTAGAAAAATTATTTCAATTTAATAACCTGTTTTATGGTAAAAAATAATCATAATTTTTTAATAAAAAATTTTGTATTTAACTATTTCTTATTTATTTTTTAAAATTTTAAAAATAAATAATAAAGGAAATAAATTATTGGTTTCTTTAAAATTTTAACACCCAATTAATTGTTGGTTCTTTTAAAATTTTAACACCAAATACTATTAAGAAACAGAAATTAAAAAAAAATTCAATGTTTAGAAAAAAAAATAAGGTGCAAGCCGTTTACTGTTCATGTGAACACTAAATGGATGGAAATTTTAAAAAAAATTCAATGTTTACAAAAAAAAAAAAAAAAAAGAGGGAAGCCATTTACTGTTCAAATGAACAGTAAACGGATGGGGGGCAATGGGTCTAGCAAAAAAAAATAATGAAAATAAGAAAAAACACTATAGTAATGAACAGTGATTTGACACTGTTTATTGCTACAGATGAAAAAGCGTTTTGATTTAGTATATAGGATAATTGTTTACTAATAAACAACTAATTAGATAACAAATCAATAAAATTATGTAACAAAGTTAATAAATCTAGTAACAGAGCAAGCAGATTATGTAATACTGATAACAAATCATGAATACAAAATATTTAATTAGGTATACTTTTAAATTGTTAACTACCCAGCATTATTTTATAATTATAATTTATTAAATTATTAATATTTTTCATAAAAGAGAGGAGAGACCCGAACTTTAGAACTTTTCGAGGAGGTGGACATGTATTCAGTTATAATAATGATAATAAAATAATTTTATTGATTTTTATTAATAATATTTTGGTTGAGAGGTAAGACGCATAGGACAAAATTGTGGAGGCAAAGTAATAGAAGACGAGACGCTGGAGACATGGTTGATTTGTGTTTAGTTAGGTGAATATGACGTAAATTTTTGCTCGTCTCTGTTTGATGATAAGAGGCGATAAAACAAAATGCCAAAAATATCTGACTTATGCATGTAATGTATTTCTTATGCATTTTATGCCTGACATGAGTTTTAAATATTTTTCTTATATTGTTTTTGAATATTTTTGAATATATATATTTTCTCTATTTAATAAAAATTATTTTGGTTTTAAATAAAAATATATACATTAATTTTTGCATTGTCTTTTGTATTGAAAAATTGGGAATACTGAATGAAAATATTTTTATAGTTCATTATATAATGCATATAATTATATTTTTTATATAATATTTTTTTTCTCTAAATAACAACTTAAAGCAAAAAAAAAAAAAAATTGTCATATACCCACTTTCATGCACATAAAATCACATAAAAAATAGTGATAAAAAATCACAGCATAAATTATTGCACATATAAGAGTAATAAAAATGAATGTGACAATATTCAGAATCGGAAAATATAAAAATAAATAAATAAATAAGTCAAACTAAAACAAAGAAGGAAAAGAAATGACAATTTACCCACAAACAAATATAATTACATAACTTAATACTGTTTAAAACGTTAGAGTTTATGGATAATTGAAAATAATTTGCAATCTAAAATTTATTTACACATTGGTGACTAACAAATCATCTTTGACATAAATTTTCAAAATTACAAATATAATACTTTAGCAATTTAATGACACATATACACTAGCACAAAAAATAAAAAAATAAAAAAATAATATGTCACGATAATACATAGCCAATATATATATAGCAATAATATATTTTTGTATTTTCACTATACGTCAAATCCTTAATATACTCAATCCATTCAAAATATAATTAAAATATCGACTAAAATTACTTATAGTGAAATTATAATTTGAATTCTAAAATCACAAATAAGGAAAAAAAATCATAATATCAATGACAAAATATGAATTTTTAAACTGTGTTTCGATATCACATGAAAAATTGGAATTATAATTATCTAAAATAATAAGATATAAATTCATCTTCCTCGTAAATTTTAAAACTTTATATTTTTTCCTCATAATTTAAAAAGAAAAATACTTTAATTCATTCAGATCTTTGAAAAATACTGAGAAGCAGAAAAGCTGATAAAAAATGGTTTCTCTTTTTTGACCTATTTCTTAATAATGGAAAAAATATGATAGCCTTCAGTTTTCTTTTAATTTTTCTTTATTGTCATTAAGAAATAGAGAGATGACCAGACTCTTTTGATAGCATTAATCAAAGTTTTTCATCGAGATTTGATCATGTGCTATTATTAATTAAATATATCATACTTAATTAGATACATTTGAATTAATTAGATATATTTGATTATAGTTTATGATGCAAGTCATAATTAATTTTACACTGTAGAATCATATATCATGTGAGCCATAATTAATGTTACAACTCTTTTTTCTAAAAGACCTCGAAATTGAAGTTAATTGGTCAAAATGAATGCCATGTTGTTAGAAAATGAAAAAATTATAGATTTTTTTAACGAATGAGACTATTTGACAGTTTGAGAAAGTCAATATATTGAAAAAAATAAATTAAAATCCATATACTCAAATGTAAAAGAAAAAACTTTACTTACCAATTTACAATTATTTGTTATCTTAATGTTTGTTTTTGTACCAATTTGCATGCGCACTTAACAATAATACTAAGACTGTAACCTTTGGCTTTGTAAACTAGTAATCGTGTTTTATGTAGTAAAATTCAATTTAAAATTACTGAAGATAAATATTGTACAATTGGTCGTTGTGTTTTTTTTCCCTGTTATTGTACTATTATTTCGTATTAATTTAATGCATATTAATATATATATATATATATATATATATATATATATATATATATATTGCATAGTTTATATGAGAAATTAGGTTAAATGTATGATCCCAAAAAAAAAAATTTACCCAATAATTTTTCATTAAAAAAAATCAAATTTTAATGAGCAAAGAACGCGATGGTTCATATCTAGTTTAATACTTAAACAGGTTGATCCCAGCATTTTCATCGATGGGGCCGAAATAACTCGAGGGTGGACCGAGATACATGTGTGTGTGGTCTTACCCTTACTTATAAGGTGGACTTCAAGCCCGCGATTGGTTTAAAACAAAAAACAAAATAAATTGGAAAAAAAAAAAAACTAAGTCATAAGAAAATTTAAAAATATAAGAACTAAATAATTAATTTTTGGAACGAACAAAACTAATTAATTTGTTTCTTAAAACTAGAGGAATTAATTTATAATTTACTCCGTTAAACTTGGCTGCAAATAATTAAAGCTTCTAAAGCATGAGAACTTGAAAAAACAAAAACAAACAAAGAAATCGATATTCAAGAATGGAAAAATGTTTAAACTCAATCAAAATAACAACAAAATCACAAACAAAATTAAGAAGCCATGCCTGAGAGCTTACGCCCCAAACTGAAGAAACGTATTTACTAGCCGAGTTATATAAAAACAAGTAATTTTACTCGAGAGCTCCAGGTCCATCTGGGATTTATTTTAACTCGTCTCTCTCTCGCTTTTTTTGGAGACACTCTTCTCTAAGCTGGTCCCTTCTATTTCCTGCCACCCTTGTCCTCTCTTTACTTCGAGATTGAAGGAGATACGCTAGTTTTTCCCTTCTAAATATTCATTAAGAATGTTTGATTATCAAAATACACTAATCATGTTCAATTTCAAGAAGTTCATCAGGGCATCGGGGAATTTAAAGGCGTAAATAAACAGAAACATTCATGTACAATTGCTCACCCTAGGCTAGATAGATACAGGAACACACTAAAAACTGCCAAAGGACTTCAAATAACCCACCTCCAGGCTCCAGGGGGTCAACATTTTATCACACTAATAGCCTGCTTCATATCCTGCCAAGTCCTTAAAACAGACTGATTCTCAGCATCTTACGCAGAATCATCAGAAGGAAAGGACACATTTACACAGCTCCTACATCCTCACCAGCAGCCACTAACTAATGCTGAGCTTTTTCTCTGCATTCAACTTCACATCCTAAATGCTCCTACTTATTTATCATTATTCTAGCTCATGGCTTGTATGATCAGACTCGGAGTTTCCCTACAAAATTTGCATCAAGCTTCATGATCTGTTCTGGTATAATAGAATGAGAGGCAGTGGCTATCCCGAAACCTCTATCAATAGGGTCAGCAATCATTGAACTAGAATCTGAGCTGACACCTATGGTGTCCAAATTTGAGTCACCACTTTTCTCATCATCTTTTGCATCATTTTCGTATTGACCTGACCCTATTGTGTCAACGGTAACCTCCTGATTACCATGGGTTCTATACTCTTGCTCTAATTTCATGACTTCCGCAATATCTACCTCGTTTTCCTTAATCTTTCGCAGTCCTCCAATCCCAAGTTGAGTGATTATTGATTGGGAGTTATGCATCATAGAGCTAGATGCATCATCTCCCTTGTAATGTTCCTCTGTTGACTCTTGTAGATTCCTTTCGCCTTCATTTTGGGTTTGAACATCAAGTGAACTTGCATCCTCAAGTTGATCGTTCTTCTCTTCAATTTCTTGATCTTCATTTCTCTCTTCCCTTTCCCTATCGTCTACATCAATGAGATCCTCTACTTCCTCGGATTCTTCCTCTTCTGTTCTTTCTTGACCTTGCCCATCTATTTCGTCATCTCCTCCACCCCTTCCTTCATCCTCAATTTCTTCAGGTTTAATTTCTTCGATTTCTTCTTCCAGTTCTGCTTTATCTCCTTGATTTTCAATCACCAAACCATTTTCCCCTACCCGAGGATGGAGGTCTTTCCTCCCAAGTTTTACAACTTCATTATCGCTTTGAACCTCTTCTGAGATCTTTCCAGTACTACCCTCATATGATGCCTTCTTATCGTAAGAGTGCTTGAGTTGATTGACCAACCAGACGCCAATGGCAAGCAAGAGAAATACCTGAATAAAATGCTTTACCTTAAAGCCTTTTGACCTCAGGTTTCTACTAGATGATTGCTTCAACATGTTCAAGTCTTAAAATGGGTGTATCTCCTTCAATTGTCGACAGGAACTGGCAATTCAAATGTGTGAGTGGAAAAAATGATCAAAACAGAATAATCAGTATTTAAAGTTGCCACAACAAATCAACCTTAATCCTTCAAATTCAATATTATTTTAAAAGCCAAAATTACAATATGTTCAGGCCAAAATAATTGGCATGGACATTGCACAAGGGCAATGTACCCTGAACCATTCTATGACAATAAATTTTTTTTACCCCAAAAGATGCTAAGTAGTTGCATCAGTCCCAATTGAACAAACGTATATGGTTGAGTAGGCCACGCTTCCAAATAATAATCTGGCCGGGATTGAAATTTTCTTCTTCAGCCATGAAACAAACATGAACAAGAACTGGAAACTAAACATTCATCTCTACTTTGTTGCTCATAGGCATATAATCACATTCAACGAGATTTTAGAGCTGAATTGAATGCGATGATCGATAAGTGAAAGCGGAAATTGAGATGCAGTGACAAGAAGTAACAGAGCTACTACTTTTTAAAGCACAAAAGATAAAAACCATTTCCGGTAGAACATAATATTCTTCCCAAACAATGATCAACTATGGACAAATGAAATAAACGAAATGTAATCTGGCAAATATCCATAGCAGTATAACAACACACCCAACAAAAAACGAAGAACTTTATCAAAGAATTTAGTAGAAAAACGCGAACTCGAAGAACATAAAGTCCAAGACATCATTGAACAAATAAAACAAAGCACGCACATATGCTATAAGAACCTGGCACAAATTAACACGAGTAGATAAAAAGAAGCTAGAAGCAGATAAGGGTACCTGTAAGAAAACTGAGTAGCAGATCCCAGAAGGGAAAAGCGGAAGCTTTGTGATTGGTTGTAAAGTGTGTGTGTGGGTATAAGAGACCACTAAATTAAAGTAGTTTTTTCACAGCAAAAAGGTTGGTTTGTTCTGTTCTTCTTCTCCAGAGAAATGAGTAATAAGTGGGAAGTGAGGAAACAAACCACCTGGCTAATAAAGAATAGGATGAGGGAGGGGACAGTTAGTTGTTAAAGAATGTGAACATTGTTCATCTCTCTCTTACTCTAAGCAGGGTATGAATGAGAGAGTACTGGAGTAAAGGCTCCAAAAACGCCCACCTCCACAAGGGGAGCGACACTGTATACGTGTGACACGCACAGAATTGTCGGCAGTTCTTCCTATTTGACAAATTGGCATCAATTCACTGGCCAATTTGTTTGTACTAAAACGACTTGGTTTAAGGTGGGTCACTCTTTTTTCTTTTGCCTTTTCGCTAAACTGTGGAGGTCTTGAAGCTAACGATCCAAATAACCACCGTTTTCGCTTTAGAAGTGTTTTTTCCTTTTACCCGCATGACATAGGTTAAAAGTGCCCTTCGAAACCACATACCCAGTTTTCCCCTCCCCTTGCTACTGTGTAAAATAATTTTTTCTAGATATCTAGGTTTTGTTTAGTTTCAGCAACAAGATCACATCCTTCCATAAATAAATAAATAAATAAACAAGAAATCCAATATATTTTTGGCTACTTTGTAACATACGAGTCGTCTCTCTCAGTCTTCCACCATTCTCAAAATTTGAATAAAGATCTCTGAGAAATTTTAAATCTTAGGTGGTGTTGTCTACAGGAAAATGTTTTTTTTTTTTTTTGTGTGTTTTGCATGAAATATTTTACAAGAAAATTATCAAATTTAAATTACAGTCAAACCTATTAAGTTAGTTGTCAGATTTAAATTACAGTTAAACCTATTTAGTTAGTTCATGTGTCGGAAATTATTTTTAACTCATTAAATTTTGTTTATAGGCACTGATCAACACACCATATCAACATTACCATTATATATTTCCTTCTTTGTGGTGCTACCAACATTATCATTGTAACCACCGTCATTTTACCACCATAATCACCGTTATTTTTTTTCACCATGGCTCCACTAAGATTCCACTAACGTCAAATTTTTCATTTCATTACTTTAGAAAATATGATCATGTAAAATAATTTATAGTTTTTGCAAAAAAACAACTCCTTAAAATATAAAAACATTAGGTTCAATTAAAGTAATAGTAACTGATTCCAATCACATTCTACTCTTCTAAAGAGTAATGGATCGATGGTTGCAAAAGTTCTTCTATTGTTTTTGTCTTGATCATATATATATACTTTTCGTTCAATTTTTTTTCTTTACATTTGATTTTTGTCTTAATCACATCCCTTTGTAAATTTTTAGACTAACGGTACTAAAATAAAAAATATTTTTAACTTCACTTTTTTTATTTTTTTTATTTTCAATTTTTAGAGAAAATGATTGGATATATCTTCATTTTTTTTAATTTTAATTTTCCAAAATTTACGTATTTAAATTCGGTATAAAAAACAAGATTAAGATGAAAAAAATATAGTAGAGAGATGAGATTAAGACAAAAAAAAATTACTATTATTAGTCTAAAAGTTAATAAAAATATGAGATTAAGACATAAATTAAATGCAAAAGATGAACTTATGAGGAAAAAAATAAAATCACATGATAGAAATAAAATAAAGTGTAGAAGACTCTGCAACCATTAACTTAATAGAATAATATTATAAAATAAGTAGAAATAGTAGGAGAATTGAAGGAAAAGATGACAAGAAAATGAAATCACTATAATGTGGATACAAGTGATAAGAACTTTAAAGTTTCTTTTATTCTCTCTAGAAAATTTATACACCAACCAATGAACAATGAAACATATTTATAGGCTTCAAAATTGAGAAGAGAATTGAAAGAGACTATGAATAATCAATTACATCACCCTTTCAATGATGAAATTCATCATATTGAATGATGAATTAAATCATATTAAGAATCATGAGTAGTGGGGATGTGAAAAGTGGATGAACATGATGATGGACATTCATTATTTCATAACACTTCCCCTCGAATGTCCATTGTACAAGGAACATGCTTCGTTAAAACCTTACTAGAAAAAAACCCGAGTGGGAAAAAAATCCTAATGAAGGAAAAAGAGTACAATATTCCTTGCACACATTAATCTCCATTTTGGTCTTTCCCCGTTGAAGGCATTATTTAAGATCTCTAAGATGACGCATTTTAATCTTATGAATCATCTTCTCAAAAGTTGTGGTAGGTAATGCTTTAGCGAATAAATCTACTGGATTGTCACCGTGATTTATTCTTCCTTCAATGGAATTATGCAAACAGACATTATCCTCATATGATATTATTGGAACTTCTTTTGTTAGTAGATAAATTGCATGTCTCTTAGATACGATGGATCATTGATCTTAGCCAAACATATTCTCGACTTGCCTCGTGAATTGATATTTCGCATGATTTAAAGATGTGGCGACTATAGTTTGCTTTATAGAACACAAAGATATAGTCGGATCTTCATATGTAAATATATAACCAGTTATGATCGAGCTCGTGTAGATCGGATAAATCACCTATATCCGCATAACCAATTAATCTTGTCTTTGATTTATTGGAGTAATATAAGCCCATATCAATTATTCCTCAAAGATAACGTAGTATATATTTAACTTTATTTCAATGTCTCTATATTGAAACGGAACTATGACTTGCTAACAAATTTATAGAAAAGACTATATCGAGTCGAGTATTATTAGTAAGATACATCAATGCACCAATGGCACTAAAATATGGTTCTTCAGGACCAAATAGTTATTCGTTATCTTCTCGAGGTCGAAAAGGGTATTTTTGGATATCAAGTGAATAAACTACCATTGAGCTAGTCAATGAATGATCTTTATATAGAATCATTGTAGAACCTTTTTCGATATGAATTCACCGATGAATGAAAATCTCATTCTTTGAGTGCTCGAACCGCAGGTCGAGATAATATTTTGTTTTTCCAAGATATTCACATCAAATTCTTTTTTAGGTAACTTATGACACTTGAAATCTCCTCGGGAGTTCCAATAATATTTAAGTTATCAACATATATAACAAACTCCTTTTCAAATAAAAATATATAAACAAATAGTGTTATTTTTTATAACTTTCTTTCAATAAATAATTATTAAAGTAATTATATCACATGCACACGGGTTAGTAATAAACAGTAGATATAAAAATAAAATATAAAAAGTATAAATTGAATTTCTAAAAACCAAAATAATAAAACAAATACTAAAATAATCCCAATATAGATCTCTATTATTTAATTGAATTCTTATCTTGATAATATATCTTACATGCTTCTAGCATGTTAAGTCCTTCTAAGACTTTCATACCGATTCATCTCAAATGAAAAAATAAATTATGATCACATTCATTAAATACATGCATATTAATGTTTTTCACATATTTTGTCGAGTTAATGAGATAATAAAATATAATTGCATCCATTATTGGAGAATATGACACCTCGTAGTCAATGACAGTTCTTTGTAAAAACTCTTGTGTTGAAAAGTTTTACTTTGTATCTTACAATCTCATATTTCTTATTTCGTGTTTGCATAAATATTTATTTGTATCCCACTAGCTTAACATCTTCGAGTGTTTTAGCTATGGGTTAAAAAAACTACTCTTTTATAGGAGAACATAATTCTCGCCTGGATTGCTCTTTTCATTTAGGCCAATTATCTTTATGTCGACATTCTTCAATAAATTTTGGCTCGGGATCCTTATTTTCATTCAAAATATCAATTGAAACATTATATAAATTTTTTTTCCTTTTTGGTCCTTATTTTCTCCTTGTATTGATATAATTTATAAAAAGTCTCTTAATTTTTCTCAAGCATTTGGATTTTTTCTAGAAGCCTATTATCAAAAATATCTTAGACCATTTTATAAATATTTTCATCTTGTCCTTTTTTTTGGAGATTTTTATCTTTAGAACCAATCGATCTTTCACGCTTCATGTGTGCTTTAGATTCATTAGCTATAACATTAATAGATTGTCCTTCTAGGACATCAATTATAATAGAAGCATTCTCA